GGGCATCTTTTTCCAACTCTACCGGATGTCCATCTTTAATCTTTTCCTTCTCACAACTTTGCAATAATCGTATTAAGAATAAGTGTTATCTTGTTTCTTTGTTGTTTTTTGTTTTTTTTTTAAACACGGACTATTTTGCTAGCACGGTACTAATGCTGACTATATAGAGATTCCTCGGGCTGGGCAGGAATCAAAGGGGAGAGAAGCAGATGGTTGTAAGAATGATGCAACAGCACATTCGCATACAAAAACAAACCGTGTTAAAATTGTGTTTATTTTTTAGTTCGTTAAATTGTTCATCGTACACCTCTTCCAGTCAAAATCATTACCAAGGTTTGGCCGTGCCGTTTTAAGTTGTATTATTTTCATATTAAGTGTACGTGGAAATTCCCATTCCCACTAAGAATTAATGCTGCTTTTCCCCCTTGAAACATGCTGCCTTGGGCTGGCCCGTGGCTCACTCGGGAGAGTGCGGAGCTGATAACACTAACACTAAGGCCACAGGTTCGGATCCCATATGGGGATGGCCGGTTAGCTCACTGACTGTATGTGGTGCTGACAACACCAAGTCAAGGGTTAAGATCCCCTTACCGGTCATCTTTAAAAAAAAAAGAAAAAGAAACATGCTGCCTCCTCTCCCTTTTGTTTTCCTGCTTTCGATAGAAACATAATTACAAAGAAGTATTTTCCTAGTGGGAGAAAAACAACAGCAAATGCAATGATAAGTGGCAACTGAACTGCTTCAGTTAGAGACTATGAAGGACCTCTCCACTAGGATAGAACAGACCTCACACTTAAAAACTTCAGGAGCTGCTGCGCTCCAGCCAGTTGCTGTCAATAGTTGGAATTGGGCCCGGTGTTGTCAGATGTTTTGATCTCTAAGAGGAGCCAGAAATCTGGACATTATGGACTATGTCAATTTTAAAATGTTGGCTCAAAGTGCTGGCCAAACAAAACAAGTCATAGGCCAGGTGCAATCCCAGGCCAATGGTTTGCTATCTTTGCTCTAAATTAAAAGCCATTTAGAAGAGGGAGTTTGTTCATTATTGTTCTCCATGCCCCAAACCAGTCCACTCACATATTTGGTAGTCAATAAAAGCAAAAAGAAATGGACATTGTCCTTTAAAAGTTATTAGGGACAAGGTGGTAGTTATTGCCTAAAACATCTCTAGAGAAGGAAAGATGATAATATTTATTGAGCAACTATTATATAATCATACATAAAAGTACATTATCTCATTTAATACTTCTGCATTCCTACTTAGGGATCCCTCCCCCACCTCTATAAGAGGAAACAGGCTGAGAGAGGTGAAGTCACTTGCCCAAGGCCACACAGCCATGAAATCAAAAGCTAATGACCTCTGATGCAGCTACAAGCCTACCATTTGCTGTCTGAGCAAACCCATTCATTGCTGATGACCTCTGATGCAGCTACAAGCCTACCATTTGCTGTCTGAGCAAACCCATTCCATGCTGCCTGCATGGGAATTGGAGCATATTGAAAAATGAAGTATATCTTCCAAAGATTTGAGTCATCTAAAGCACTTCTGTGACTACACTGGTTGTAATTTGATAAGGCTTTTTGGAGATGGTGGTATCTTCTTAATGGTTAAAGAAGGGGAAAAGGAAAGGATGCTAATATTTATTTTGAACCTTATGCCAGGCCTTTTAATATCCATTAATTTTTGTAATGATTGCGAAGTAGGCTTACCCTCATTTTACAGATGGGAAAACCAAGGCTTAATTTGGTTAAGTCCCAGGTCACTCAGATATTAAATGGTTAAATAAGAGACCTTCTGAAGTCAATCTGCTCCCAGACTCATGCCATTCTACCTCATGTGGAGATGTTTTTATATTTGCTTGTTATCCAATCCTTAATTATCCTGTGACCACCATTTGCCTTTATAGGTTCAATAGAAATATTTTATGCTTTGAGTCCAAATTAAGATCTGGACTGCATGGCTAATGTGTAATACTCCCTAATTATGTACTTGTTGATCCTCCAGAGGGCTAGAATGCTGCAGGGTTGGCCTTTGTCCTAAACCATTTGTAGCATGGAGTTACCAGATGAGAGCCAGTGGGACGAAACCACCTGCGACTTGGCTGTTTGTCAGCATCCACAATGCTGGGCAACTATCCGCCGGATCGAGAGGGGTCATCCCCGAATCCTGGGCTCACCCTGCAGAACTCCCCTGGACGCTGAAGGTGAATTAGCCAGCCTCCATCTTCTTCCTTACAAGGTTCTTAAAGTATTTCTGTTTGGCTCCCTTTCTCCAGGCAACATGTTACATGTTTTCTTCTGGTCTGCTTTCTCAGATAAACTCCCAGCACTTACCATTGTAAACATCTCAGATTCCTGCTTCGGGGCCAAGAGACTTGCTCCTCGTCATTTTTCAGAATTTACCTTCACTAAGGCTCCTTCTTTATTGTCTTGGGGTTCAAAGTTTGACTCCAAATTTCGAGGCAGGTAAATTATCATGGAATCTTCCTTTAACAGCCTATTCTCTCAAAATTCTGGGTTGTGATTTTCCTTACTCATGTAGTAGACTTTGAGAAAGCTAGATTAAAAAGAAAACACTAATTCAGTTAAAGAAGTGGTGAATAGGCAGTGGGAAACAAAAATCGTTCCTGCTTGTGTTCTAAGAATTGATTAATTTGGGGGGCGTATTGGTTTGCTAGGGCTGCCATTATAAAGTACCACAGATTGAGTGGCTTAGATAACGAAATTTATTTTCTCACAATTCTGGAGGCTAGGGATCTGAGATCAAAGTGTTAGCAGGGTTATTTTCTTCTGCAACCTTTCTCTTTGGCTTGTAGATGGCCATATTCTCCCTGTGTCTGTCTTCTGTTCAAGTAGCATCTGTGCCTAGACCTGAAGTTTGAGCATTCTAGTGAAGTGAGTGTTGTAGGTGGGAGGTGAGCAGGAAGAGAGTCCTAAACTATAGGAATAACACATGTAGAGGCTTCTGTTCAAGTAGCATCTGTGCCTAGACCTGAAGTTTGAGCATTCTAGTGAAGTGAGGGTTGTAGGTGGGAGGTGAGCAGGAAGAGAGTCCTAAACTATAGGAATAACACATGTAGAGGCCTGGAGGCAAGAGAAAATTCTTTAGGTATCAGGAAAATAGTTCATTGTGTCTGGAACATAGAGCAGGAATGGAAAAGTGATCAGAGATGAGCCTGGAGAGCTGGAGTAGAAGGCAGGAAGGAGCCTGCCTCCTGTAGGACTTTGTAAATCAGGCTGAGAGCCAGGTCTTTATCTTACACCTCTTGGCATTATTCATTCATTCATACATTTACCATATTTCTTAAAAAAATAGAACATGATATAAAAATATAAGAGGATGGTATTCTTTTTTTTATTATGGTAAATGTATGTAACAAAAATTGACCATTTAAACCATTTTTAAGTGTACAATTCATTGTCATTAGGCTCACAATGTTGTACAACCATCACCACTATCCATTTCCAGAACTTTTTCATCATCTCAAACAGAAACTGTATTAATTAAACTGTAACTTCCTCTTTCCTCCTCTTTCCAGTCCCTGGTAATCTCTATTCTATTTTCTGTCTCTATGAATTTGCCTATTCTCACAACCTCATATAAGTGGAATCATACAATATTTGTCCTTTTGTGTCTTGCTTATTTCACTTAATATTATGTTTTCAGGTTTCATTCATGTTGTAGTATGTGTCAGAATTTCATTATTTTTTAAAGCTGAATAATATTCTATTCTATGTATGTACCACATTTTTTTCATTTAACATAGATGTCTATGTCAAAGGTACTTAATACACTTTTGATGGTGATGTAACTATCTGTAGCTGGAGAGAGAGGCATAGGCTATGACGAATTCAGTTTGATGCAACAAATATTTGTGAAGTGTTTGCAGTGTACAATGTCTGTTTAGGAGCTGTTCAGGAAAAACAAACAAAATTTAAGGAGATGGTGGGACCCTACATTCATTTGGTAAATATTAAGCCCAAGGTTTTCTGTAAGTAGAAGAGTTTTCCTCAAAGCACCAACTTTATCATCCCAGTAAGTCCTTTGTGTCCATTTCATGTTCTGAACTTTCATTTTTTAGGTCTCAGAAGGGTTTACCTGGCAAAAGTTTGATCAACCATACTAATAGATCTCCAAAAGTAAGTCAGATTAAAAAATGTACTTCCTCAAAATTTTCTCTTTACTAGTGAGGATAAAATATTTTGACTTTATTTAACATTATTCCTCAGGATGACTAATCTGAATAAAAATGATGATAATAATTATTTAATATTGGGCCCTTACTGTATGTTAGGCTCTGTACTAATGGCTTTACATGCTATATTGTTTTCAGAAATCCTAGACAAAAGTGGGATTGATTTGTGGAGGCTTGGTATAGGTGAGAATTTCCCATCTCTGTCCTGTATAGAGCATGTTTGGCTACTAAGTAAACATATCATCTCATAATCAGGGGAATTAGAATGCTAGAATGTCAGATCCAAAATGGACCTTAAGGTCCTCTAGTCTGATGACTTTCAAACTTTTTTTTTATGATCTGTGGTAAGAAATACTTTTTACAACAAAAATATCGTGGAATAATTCTTACCCTATCTATGATTGAAACTGATATTTTTCTGTTCTATTCTGTTTTAGTCTATTTTATTTTTAAACGATATGGGCTGTCACTCACAAAATTTGGTTTTATGACCTATGAGTAAGTTGCAGTTGCAGTTTGAAGAACATTGCTGTGGTTTACCTCATATGTCCTATAGTTGAGGAAACTGATACCCAGATGGGAAGTGATTTGCTAAAGCACATAGCTAGTTAGGGGTAGAGCTAAATTAGAACTTTAGGAAGAAAAACCTCCCACTTACTGACAGTAAGGAGAGATTTACTATTTCTTGCAATCGTACTTGGATGCCTTTTATTTTTTTCATGAGATGCTTCACTTTTTTTTTTTTTTTTTAAAGATGACTGGTAAGGGGATCTTAACCCTTGACTTGGTGTTGTCAGCACCACACTCTCCGAAGTGAGCCAACTGGCCACCCCTATATAGGGATCTGAACCCACGGCCTTGGTGTTGTCAGCACCACACTCTACCAAGTGAGCCACGGGCCGGCCCTGAGATGCTTCACTTTTTAATATCACGTGGTGGAGAGTGTAATGGACTAATAGACAGTAAATGGGTTTGGGTGGATGAATGAACAAATCATTTTACCTCCTTGACCTCTTTACTGGCCACCCCTATATAGGGACCTGAACCCACGGCCTTGGTGTTGTCAGCACCACACTCTACCAAGTGAGCCACGGGCCGGCCCTGAGATGCTTCACTTTTTAATATCACGTGGTGGAGAGTGTAATGGACTAATAGACAGTAAATGGGTTTGGGTGGATGAATGAACAAATCATTTTACCTCCTTGACCTCTTTAGAACAAGACTGTTAGATTAAATTTTTTTTAAATTAATTATTTGAGTAGATAATACATGAGCATGATTCTAAATTTAAAAGGCATAAAAGAGTTTACAATGAAAAGGAGTCTCTCCTGTTCCCCCCCAGCCAATCAGTTCCTTTTCATAGGGCCAAACTTATTTTTCATAGTTTTTCTGTTTGTATCCTATCAGGAATATGGACTAGGTGATTAACAAGGTTTCCTTGAACACTAGTGTTCTTGGATCCTAAATAGCTAAATGTGAAAAGTTAACACTTAACACTAATTTTCAAATAGATGCCTATAATTGTAAACAGGCTATAAAAGTGGAGAACTTGTTTCTGTCTCTACTAATTCTTTCCCTGCTCCCAAACTTCAACTGTATTACCTGTAGGGGATCTTTGTCTTTGGAGTGGAGTGGGCAGAATGAGTATTGTTCCCCTAAGTAAGCCCCAAGGCACCCTCACGTGGGAGTTGTTAATTGCCACTCTAATGTCACAGAGAACCAGAGGAGATTAATCACTTACAAATGCTCAGTCTCGCAGAGTACCTGTACTGATATCTGATGCAATAGTCTGTTTTTTGGGAGAATAATATGAAGGTGTTTTGGGGATGGGAAATGCCTTTTTGTCATCTTCTGAGCTGTCAAACTCTTTGTTTAGCATGATAATTCAGCCCTTAGTCTGGTACTGAATACCATCAGGAGCCATACATAGGCTTTAAATCTTTTTCTTAGCTTTCAGTGTTGAATTTGAATGAGACACAACTTCCCTGCTCTAAAGACGTTGGAAATATGGTTGTAATCTGGATCCCAGAGAAACTTGTGAGGTGAGTATCACGTCTAGAACTTGGGGGCCTTTGCTTCCTATATGGAACAAATCTCTACTGTCTTCTGCAGGCTTCCTTTTTGTGATCTCCCTTTTAGCCACCTCACTGCAAGTAGCAGGGGGCCAAGCAGGGAAGAGGATCATGGTCTCTTGCATCTGCCTCTCGCTATACTGGAATCCTATTTTAATGCACTTTGAGATTTATGCTGTGGGACTTCTCTACGTCACATTCTACATGGCAGTAAATAGCGTATGAGATAGGGTCCCATTTATTTGTGAGGCTTGATTAAGAAATAAAGGCTCCTTTTTAGTTTTTCTCATTAGCCATCAGCGACTAGTGAAAAATTTCTCAGTGAAGCACATGAATCTCTGATCTCAACCCCAAGGCCTACTACAGTGGTATAAAGTGAATAGCATACAGCACCTGTGGACAAAGCAGCGCATGACAGAGATCATTTGGTAAAGGACCAAAGGCTTACTAATATTGACATCCATGGGGAAAACGTTTGGTTTTCCTTTTTGTGATCACTGAGGCTTTCAGATTCTTGTTAAATGACTGTTTTGAGATGATGAGATTAAAAAATTTCTGTTTGTTTCATTTTCTTTTTTTTAAATGATCCTGTGAATGCTTCTTTATATATGTATTTTTTGTGTGTTTATATGATGTAAACAAAAAAACCCAAAGGGTTTATTTCCTTTCATGTAAAAGAAGCCTGGAGGTAGGCAGACCAGGGTTAGTAGTGCAGCTTTATGAGATAATCTGAATCCAGGGCTCCTTCTAGCTTTCTGGGCCATTGTCCTTAGTCTATGGCTTCCATCTTCTAAGGTATTTCATGAGTGCTTTTAAGGTCTAAGTTGGCTGCTAGAGCTCCAGCTATCATAGCCATGTCCCAGGCAAGAAGGAGAAGGGAGATGACAGAGCAAAAAGTACTTTTTGAGCTTCTCCTCTGTGCTAAGCAGTGAGGATCCAGTGAAGAACCCTGTCCTCCTGCAGTCTTATGGGGGGAGTCAGATATAAGCATAACCACACCTGAGCATGTAATTTCTAATTTGGATTTATGCTATGAAAGTAAATAACTGGATTATCTGAGAGAATGATGGAGAACTTAGTTAAGAAGTGAGGGTGGGGGTCTTTTTTAGTAGCAAATACTTGGGCAGAAGCAGCCATCTTTTTGTATTGATTAGAGAAATCTTCATGGTTATCATTCACAAATATCCTTAGTGCTTCTCTTTAAGATGTCTGGGAATAAATGTCGTTATTTTTATTTCAAGTCCAGCTGAGAAGAAGCCTGTTTTTCCCAGCCAGAATTCAAAGAAGAAAAAGAAATTGGCAGTGGTGAGTTTGATGTTTTGTCCAAACCTTTATGATATTACTCTGAAGTATTTATTTTTATTTTCCTTTCAGGTCTCCTCCACCACCACTCCCACCCTCTCCTTAAATGAACAAAATCTGCAAAAGAAAACTCTTCTTTAGGAATGATTACTAAACTGTTTTCTATTAAGAGATTCCGTTTCTCTATCTCCTCCTTTTAGGGAGATGAAGAGCACCTTGAAGAGATGATAGGAGGAACTTTTGGGTATTCAGGGGGAATTTTTGATCACCTAAATACTAATCCTCAGTGTTATGGAATTGAATGGCAATGGACCAAGAGTTATAAGACTTGGGCTTCTAATTCAGATTCCACCATTTGGGGGTAATGTGACCTTGGATAAGTCACAGAACTGTAAGATTGCTATGTCCATGATAGTAGCGTTGTGGTCCATTTTGTTCATTGCTTTATCTCATTCCACCATTTGGGGGTAATGTGACCTTGGATAAGTCACAGAGCTGTAAGATTGCTATGTCCATGATAGTAGCGTTGTGGTCCATTTTGTTCATTGCTTTATCTCCATCCCTAGCCTTGTGCCTGGCACACAGTTAGGCAGTAAATATTTGTTTGGTTTGGTGAGTAAGTAAATTAATGAATTTTCTGGAAAAATAAAACAAAATAAGTAATCCCTGTATGATCTTAATACAATAGTGTTGGGATCCTGAGAGGGAAAAATGTGGTGGCATTCATAGTGCAGAGGAGGCAGGAATTGCTGGAGTAATTCTGGAACCGAGTTTCACAAGCCAGGGTTGTGGTGAGAGGCTGGAATGTTGATGGGAAGAAATGGGCTCAAAGAAGCACTTTAGAGAGATCTTTCCATTGTTTCTCTTCCAGCAAGATGAGCCATCTCTGGGTCTCTCTGAGAAGCCGTACGGAGAAACACAGTTGAGAACTCCAGGAGTGGTTGTGCCTTCCCCCTCCCCAGTACACTTATCTGAGCAATTAAATTCAGAATTCATACCTTTCTGGACCCAATTTGGCATGTTACCTGAGGATCTGCTGAAGGAGTAAGTATCATTGAGCAAATAAGTTCAGAATCCATACCTTTCTGGGCCCAATTCAACATGTTACCTCAGGAACTACTGAAGGAGTAAGTATCATGAAAGCCTGTGGAAGAGCACCTGCTTTTCAGAGAAGCTGAGAATGGTCTATGCAGTGGGCTTTTTTTTTTTTTTTTGAGTAGGGCAGGGAGAAAACTGTCACCCTTCTTGTTTACTGATTTTTTAGACTTAATAGCAGGCAGGGATGACAATCATAACATCACTATTTATCAAGCTCTTACCATCTTCCAGGCCCTGTGCTGAGCAAATTACATGTACTCTAATTCAGACTTCCACTAGGGGGTAGGCAGTCTGTTCTTTTTATAGATGAATTATGGATAATTCATGAATGGTATATGTGGTTTGGAATGAGATGAACTTTGAATTTTGTATTGAAACTCAACTGGTTTTGTAAATTTTGGTAATTTATTTTGCTTCTTTAGGTTTTGTTTTCCTCATTTGCTAAATATTACTTGTCCTAAAGGTGTTGTAAGGATTCAGTGGTATAAAGCCCATGAGCCTGACATAAACACTTAATAAATACAGCTATGATGATAATAGTTTCATCTGAAAGGTGTTACCAAGTGAGCACCTGTTGCTACAGGACTTTTCAGACCCAAAGTGGAAATTTCTTCAAATTTGGAGCCCTTTTCATCTTTTTCTCCTCAGCCATACTCTCCAAGAAGAGCTATTGCTGAGTATCTGGCTGTCTCTGTCCCCTTCAGCCTTTTGTCAGATGGAGAGAAAACTGTGCCTTGTCCGGAGACGAAGATACAGTTAGCCATGATGAAAAAGAATCTTCCCCTGGAAAAGAACCGGCCTGATAGTGCAATTTCTTCTAAGATGTTTCTGTCTATACACCGCCTCACCCTGCAAGTAAGAGCTAGGGAGCCTCAGAGAAAGAGGCCTATGTGAAAATCCAAACTCATCTGTCTTCAGGGCTGTAAGAGCTGACTTTCTATTCCTTCTTTTTCTTCCACCTTTCTAATCTGGACTCAAGCCCCACGGAGGACTGGGCTATATGTAGGTGAAAGCCAATGAATGGGGAAAGGTTTAAGGAGAGCAGTGTTATCTATTTCACACCCTGTTCTCCATACCTTCTTCCTTCCTCCATAGCCCCTGGTACGATGCTGCAAAACACTGGGTTCTCAGAATGTGCCTGTTGACTAGATGAATAAATGCACTTGGGGGATCCATTTGGGGAATGGGAAAGACCATCAGTAGAGCTTTTCTTCTTTTCTTTTTTTCTCCAGAGACCAGCATTGCGATATCCTGAACATTTGAAGAAATTACGTTATAACTTGATGAAAGAAGGTAGATATGCTGGTGCTGCCAGATCTCCAGGTACCGTTCTGCCCTCAGTCCATATTTCTCATACTTGAACTTGGTCCCAATTCAGTTATGTTTGTGACCGTAATCATATAGTGTCACATGTAGAACTCAGGAAACTTAGTCTCAGGAAACAGCCACCTGGGTTGGTCCTGACCAGAGAGAGAAAGTCACTACTGTGAGGCAGAGTACAGCAGGCAGCCCAGCTGTGGAGGGTGGGGGCTGTCAGTGAGAAGAGGATTGAGTTGGCTGTCTGGTCACCAGGTCACAGGAAACAGCAGCAGTGGCGGCAGCAGCAGCAACAACAGAGGAAGGTGAAAACACCTCTTAGAAAACAGGTAGAGTGGCAGTGAGGGGATTCCAGGCCTTGCTTGGGACTGGGAGAAGTGGGTACAGCCTGAAATGGGAAGGAATGCATGAGAGATGGGATTCTCCCTTTCCTCAGTCTGGTCATAGATATAAAGTTCCTGTCTGGTTGTAGATGTTAAGTTCCTTCTTTTAGACTCATTTTGAAAAAGCTTTCTTCACTTACAAAAGCCCTAATTCAATTCCTCCTCATGTGGGTTTCAGGAGGCTAAAAAGAAAGCCAAGAGTGACCCAGGGAGCCAGAATGCTTCGCATAAACCTCCAGTTACCATTGGTTATGACTCTCTCTATGGTAAGAAGAATATGTGCCTGGATGAATTGTGAAACTCGGTTCCAGAATTACTCCAGCAATTCCCGCCTCCTCTGCACTATGAATGCCACCACATTTTTCCCTCTCAGGATCCCAATCCTATTGTATTAAGATCATACAGGGATTACTTATTTTGTTTTATTTTTCCAGAAAATTCATTAATTTACTTACTCACCAAACTAAACTAAATGATAGAATTCCAGGATGTAACTGAGGGCAGGAAAAGTCAAATATGCCTTTGTTATTTTGCAACCTACCTTTGTCAGGTACCCAGAATTCTTCTTGGAATGCTTCCATCTGGCTGGTCTACCATGCATCATCCTTCCATCAGATATTTACTAAGCAAGCCAGTTGGGCCAGATTTGAGAGATGACCATGAACATAAGTCAAAGTCATTTTTTCCTCAGGTCATTCCTTAGAAAAGACAGAGCCATTTGAGAAGCAGGAGCAGGAGCAAGCCCAGTTGAGAAGAGAAGACTTCTGAGGGCCAGTTGGCCAATGAGGCAGGGAAGAGCTGAGGCCCCTCACTAGAGCCCCAAAAGAGTTCCAAGGAAACTGAGCTCTGGGGCCCTCCGGCTTCCCCACCACAAGCTATAGGGTCTCCGGAGCCTCAGGTTGAAATCAACACATTGTCTATTCCCATCCAGGAGGCAGGTAGCCAATTCTTGACAGGCAGTCCTTTTCCTCTAGTGTTCATGCTGGAGATGAGAATGGATATCTCCCCTTTGTGGGGTCCTTATCACTTCTGAGCTGAGGGGTACACTTATCCCTGTCCCTCTGACATTTCTCAGTCTGAGTGCAGAATGGGAGGGAGGGGAGAAAAACCCCTTAAACCTTGCAAGATTGTTCTGCCCTATTCAGACTGGATATTGCTGACTTTATTGTGAAAACAACTGTTTAATTATCAGAATTCAGTCTCTAATCATGAGACAGTGAGTGGGTTCAGGTGAGATGTTTTCTGAGAAGGATGCTGCCCTCTTGCTTTACTCCCCATCCCATTGAACTCTCTGATACCAGTGATGTCCTCTAACCTGAAGATCTGAGAAGGTTCCTGACCTTTGAATGGGAGGTAGATAGAATGATAGGTAGGGGTGTGGTCCAGGGCAGGAGGTGATGTGTCCAAGGTTAGTACCCCATCCAGGATGATCATTACCACTCCCCTGAATTCCATTCTGGTACCTTTTGTATCTCTTCCTGATGCCTCTAATAGAAGCAGTGTTGCCTGGGTGACTGGGGTGCCCCTTTGAGTCATGTTCTTAGAGCAGTAGTCTGTCCTCATTGAATTGACGGCTTATGGAAGAGATGATTTTTGCATTGTATCTTGAATATGTGTGGGAGTTTCCCATTATGGAAAAGAGTTCCTGGAAGTGGGAATAGTCTGTGCAAAGGCATCTTGGAGTAGCATGGCTGCTTAAGGAATACTGAGAAGTTCATTGTGGCTATGGGGCTGGGCATTTAAAGGAGAGTGGAAGATCATTCCAGAGGCTTGTATAGACTGCTAAGATGTTTGATCTTTATCCTTCATATTAGTGGGCTCCACTTTGACTAAACACTGAAACCAACTAAGAAGGTTTTAAAACTCTAATACCCAGGTGGCACCCCAGACCTATTAAATTATAATTTCTGGTGCAGGGACCCAGACCTCAGTGTTTTTAAAAGCTCCCCAGTGCTTCCATTGTGCAGCTAACGTAAGAACCAGTGCTGGTAGGGAGCCAACAGAAGTGTTGTTTTTTAGGACAGTACCTCTGGTGGCAGTTTGGAAAATGTTTATTCAGAGAGAGAGAATTGAGAAAGGAAAGAACGAATACATTTAGGGACTAGTTGGGGAAACAGCTGATGCAAAAGAAAAATTAGAGCTTTTTTTTTTTGGTTTGGTTTTCAGGAGCCAATGTGGGTACATTGGGGATGGCGCAAGAAGGCAAGTCACATTCTGGTAAGGGGAGTATTCATAAACTGAAGATACAGAGTTAGGGTTTCTTTTGCTGCTATCATGTGCATGTAGCCACCCCTTAGGTTTCTTGGAGGAATCCTGGGTCTTTTAACACACATTTTACCTTAATCTGTAATTCTGTAATAGTTGTGGTCACAGTCCCAGTTGAACAGAGTCACAAATAGAACTTAGAAGGCCCAACTCCATTTTACCTGCCACCAGGGTCTTGTCTTGTCTTGGATGGGGAATCACTTGTAGACTAGGGGTCAACTAGAAGCTCAGCAGTGGGATATGAAGTGCCAATAAGAGGAGAATTGAATTGACTTTGTGGTTACTAGGTCACAGAATTCTGCCAGGTCAGGAAAGGGACACAAAGCAGCAGCAGCAGCAGATGAAGACAGAAATGAAGTGCCAATAAGAGGAGAATTGAATTGACTTTGTGGTCACTAGGTTACAGAATTCTGCCAGGTCAGGAAAGGGACACAAAGCAGCAGCAGCAGCAGATGAAGACAGAAGGAACCACTTTGAAACAGGTGAGAGTGTACCAGGGCTTCTGCTAAGGCCCAGTTTCGGTTATCTATGAGTATATAGCAAATCACCCCAAACCTTAAGCCATAGTGATTTTTTATTTCTAATGATTTTTTGGGTTGATTGGATGGTTATTGTGGTCTTCCTTGAGGTCACTCAGTGTAGCTGGGCTGGGGCTGTTGGCTAAGTTGCCTGGGTTCTCTCTGTGTGGCTTGTTTGGGCTTTTTGACAGAATACTAATCTCATGACAGCACTATATTAGGTAATGGGCCTGGAACTAAAACTGTCACTTCTGCCACATTTTATTGGTCAGAGGAGTCACAAGTCCATCCCAGATTCAAGAGGAGAAGAAATAGATTCTCTCTCCTAATAGAAAGAACAAAAGTGTATACAGGAATTAGAGAAATTGTTGGCAGCTGTTCTTGGAGGTGATCTACCCTTAGTTTTCTCCTGGTAATTGGGAGAAGTGGGTTGTGCTTTCATCTAGACAGCCTGGAGGGCTAAGAATGTGTGATACAAGCTTCTCTTCAATCCCAGGAGGTGGTTCTTTGGCCCATCCGAGATGTTAATTTCTCCAAGAAAATCATCAAGCATCTTTCAAAAATCCTTTTAGGGCCAACCCCGTGGCGTACTCGGGAGAGCGGGTTCGGATCCTATATAGGGATGGCCGGTGTGCTCACTGGCTGAGCGCGGTGCGGACGACACCAGGCCAAGGGTTGCGATCCCCTTACCGGTCACAAAAAAAAAAGAAAAAGAAGAATCCTTTTAGTTTCTTAAAGTCTTGATTCAAGTTTCCTCATACTTACCCCAATGAATTTCAGGATTCCACTAAGAGACTAGAGACGGACTACTCTGAGAACTACATGGATCTCTTTTCCAGTATGAGAAGTAAGTTAGGGTGGAGGAACCTTAATAAGTGACTGAGGATAGAGAGAGCTTAATCTGTGTTGACCAGGATGGTGTACCTCCCTGAAGGGCACAGTCCTCATCCTTCACAGAGGTCCTAAAAACACCCCGGCTTTTCCTTTTCTGTCCTCCATTTGTCACAGTTATTTGGGAGAAAGCTACAGGTGCAATTAATGGCTGGGTCTTCTTTTAGGTCCTGGATTATCTGAAACAGAACCCAGTAACAAGGACATGAGTGCTCCGGTGGAGGCTGTGCTGGAATCCCAGGCGTCCAGCCAAGAGAAGATCTCCAAGAACCTTTCAGAAAGTGTGACTAGAATAAGCTGGAACCCTGAGTTCCAACTACTGAGGATTCTTCAGGCTACTGATGATGAGGATGAGGAGAACCAGTTCTCTGCGGCACAGAGTGAGGAGTCTTTGGAGGCACAGACTGAAGGCATCACCTGGGGCAGCCTTATTCCAGAGCAGGATGCTTGGCATCCTGGGGACGACAATCTTTGACATAAGAGCAGAAAGGAGAGGAGGCTTCTGCTCTCTGGAGCCTTTCCCAGGGCCCATGCATAGGGATTCTGTTTTCTTTGTTCACTTCTACTTGCCTCTAAAATAAGTGAGGGAGAAAAAGCCCCATCCCTTTTAAACTGAGATTATTTCTCTTCCATTAGGGTCAGAATAATTTTAGTGATTAAACATAACTGCTTCTCAATCAAAAGACTCATTTTCTATTTCTGGGTGGAGGGGAGAAATGTTTCATGATATCTGTTTTCTGGGTCACGTTTTAAAATATTTTAACATTTACTTGTCCATGTTTGTGGGGTACATGTATTGTTTCAATACATGCATGTACTGCACAGTGATTCACTTAGGGTAGATAGCATATTTGGTTTCTTTTTTTTTTGTCCTTTTTGAGACCAGCCGCACCGCGCTCAGCCAGTGAGCGATGTGAGCGTACCAGTCATCCCTATATAGGATCCGAACCCGCGGCGGGAGCGCTGCTGCACTCCCAGTGCCGCACTCTCCCAAGTGCGTCACGGGCTCGGCCCAGTATATTTGGTTTCTAAGTCACTTTTATGTTATTCCTGAAGCTCTGAAAGGTTTCTAGTTGTAG